GCTAGGTCATTATTTGTGTATAGAAATGTGATTGGTTTTTGTAGGTTGATTTTATATCCTGCAACTTTACTGAATTTATTTACTAGTTCTAACAGCTTTCTTTTTTTGTCAAAAAAGACAATGGTGTTTCTACATATAGGATCATATGATCTGCAAATAGAGATGATTTTACTTATAACTTTATTTTTGGATGCTTTTTTTTTCTTGTCTGATTGCTACTGCTGTTACTTCTAGTACTATGACAAATAAATGGAACCAAATATCATATATTATAAATACCTTATACATGTATCATGCATCATGTATATTTTGTGCTTTGCTTCCCTTGCTCAACATAATGGTTTGACATTTATCCATATGTTTACATTTATCAGTAGTTAATTTTTGTTAATGAATGAGTAGTTTTCTATTCCACAAATATACCACAATGTTTCTATCAATTCTGCTTTTGATGGATGTTTGGACTACTTCCAGTTTGGGGTTATTATCACTAAAATTGGTTTAAACATACTTATGCAGGACACAATTCACTTGGGATACCTAAAATTAAATTTCTATATTACAGGGTAGGTGTTTGTTTATCTTAGTTAGTAACTGCAATGTTAGTATTTTAAAAGCAGTTGCAAAAATATTTTATGGCTACTACTAAGCAGGTAATAAGACCTCAAAGCCCTGTAATCATTCAGAACCAACAATTTGACTTTTATGTCTAAATTCTTAAGTCCAGATGTTTTATTGATTTATTTATTTGATAAACACTTAACAGAGAATGAAAAGCAGGATTGTCATATGAATGGCCCCAGAAGTTCAGGGTGCCTCATGGTAGATGGACCACAAGTAAGAACACCTTTCCCTAAAGGGAGGGATTGCACTCAAGCTTACTTTCAGATGGGAGAGACTCCGTTCTTTTCTCCTTCTTTTCTACTTGGATGATATCATCCCCAAGGGGGTAAAACTTGGTTCTTGCTATAGGGATGTTAAAAATATTATTGTTTTAAAATATAAAGCAAATATACATATAGCATATAAACAAATACAATATATTTAAGGTATAAAAATTTCACCAGGCATATTATTAGAAACAAAACATCTATAAAGGCTCCTGGGATGGGGGATAATGAAAAAAATGGTTGAGGAACATTGATTTAGTAGCTCAAATACAATTTCTCAGGCAACTGCACTGATATAATATTAACATTTAGACTTTATAGTGCCTGGCTCCCTTCGTTTTATATCTCACTTCTAAGGCTATTCAGAAACTTCATTATAAGAACATCTATCGCAGCAGACAGGGCTCTTTCCTGGAACACCATTTCATGGTGTCAACTTCAGCCTCATCTGTTCTTCACCTGTTCTCTCTGTGGCATGATGAGATGAGAAAACAGTGGACTATGGTGTCTACACCTGACAAACTGGGGCTTATAGGCTTCCCCAGTATAGGATATTCTTAACCCATGTCATCATATATAGTATTATTTTCCTGTATCCACCTTGTCATAAGTGTCTACATCCTTACTATATTCTCTCATGTACTCCATGCAAAACAATCCATATTAATTTGCTTGTTATTTTTAAAAAATCTTCTTTGCCAAGAACCTGCTTAGAATCCACAGTCTTGTTCTTACCAATTTCTTTTCCTAAGACTGGTAGTCTTGTCCCTAACACCAAATATGTGCTTTTCATAAGAAAATTAAAATTAAAAAACAAACAAACAAACAAAATTGAGCATTTGAGCATACCTACAGACCATCTATTTGGCTGTTTGAGCTTTTCCTTGCTTTGGTCTACTCACTCAAACTATTGAGATTATTTCATACTTCATTCCTCATTTTCAAATATTTACCTTAAGAATGAACAGAAATTTCTATGCCTCTTAAAGGCAAATTGACTTTTCTTGACATCAGATATGTAAGTCTAGCACCATGTCCCATTATTCCTCCAGTTTACTCTGTTTTTTCAAAAATACATGGCAATGTCTAAAAGTCAGACCTTCAACTCTGACAGTGTAACTGTATTAATAATTGAGGAAGCAGATGTAATCCCTTTTTATCTTACTATCTGTGACAGATAACCTGAGTGAAAAATTTGCTGTAGAATCTTTCTATGGGCTTTTCAGGAAAGAATGATAGGTATTTTTTGCGTCGTTTTCCCTGGGAACACATTTTTCCTTACTCTCAAGGAATAGATAAGAGACTTGAGGTGGTATATATTTGGATGGTTTGAGACTGGTTGGATTCTAGGTTTTAAAAAAAGAGAGGTGACCCTTGTGAACATATTGATTCCCCACCTCTTGTAATTGGCTGTTTTGAGGTTTGAGACGAATTTGCACTTCCCTCTTTAACACTGACCCATGAATGACTGAAACATTTAAGGGAGCACTTGTGTTTCCAGGGAGTTAAATGTGAGTGGTAGAGCCTTAGGAATCACAGCAATGAGAGAGCTGGAACTCGGTCCAGAGCATCAGCATTGTGTACCTTTCAATGATCTGTGTAGCCCTGGACAATCAATATCTTTATGTGGTCCATGGTGTATAAATCTGTCATCTTTCTTCAAGATTTCCAAAGTTATTAAGTACAGAGCCTTGCATGACTAAAGAAGGGAAAGTGCCTCTTGCAAAACAACTAAGACTGAATTTGCCACTGGATCTTCAGAAGAGGGTAGAAATAAGGAAGCCATAAAAACCAAATTGAACTCAGTTTAAAACATGGGGAAACAGGGTTCATGCAATCAAATGCTGAGAAACAAATTTGTACCTAATTTGCAGCCAATAACAACCATCTCTATTAGAATTTGACCGGGCTCCCTTAAATAGAATGTCCATCTTTATTTTGTTTCATCTTGCCTTTTTATTTTTCTTAGGATAGTATTGCACTTAATACTGTTTGATATTGTGATCCATGTTTCTTTACTGCTTTTATTATCTACTATTAATAGTTTTAAGCTCCACGAAGGAGGAGGCTTTGTTTTTCTTGTTCACTGCTTTGTCCCCAAAGTTTACAATAGTGCCTTGCATACTGTAGGTGCTCAATTAATGTTTGTTGGTTGAATTAATAACTTTTAGAAATTCTCATGGTAAAAAATAAGAATATGCTAAGCATATAAAGATATTTAACCTAGACATACTGACAAGAAAATGAAAAAGCTTTCCTGGAGTTTTTGAAAATAGCACTATCATCATTTTGTGTTCTGCTTTAATATTCTTTTCAGTCTGTCTAGTATCTTCACTTTCTCTTCATGGCTTATCTTTGTTCAGCTGATCATCCCCTTGGGGTATAATCTGAAATTGGGAAAGTGCATGATTTTATCAGTTCATACTACTTGACAATCTTAGACTTCTAGTCAGTCTGAAGTGACTTTATGTCCCTATTTGCATACCACTGGTATACATGTTGCTGTTTTTTCCATACATCTATGTTTTATATTTTACTTATTTGTGATTTTCCAAGTAATGAAAGAACATTTTTGTACAATGGATACTTACTATTCTTTACCTGTGTTTTCTACTTGGTATATTTACATTGATACCAGCATGGCATTTTAATGCATTTTGAAATGCAGAATTTATGCTAAGGAAACTGCTCTGATTTGAATGCTTGTGTCTTCCAGAATTCACATGTTGGAATCCTGACCTCCAAGGTGATGACATTAGGGGGTGGAACCTTTGGGGGGTGATTAGGTCTTGACTGTGAGGCCCTTGCGAATGAGATTAGTGCCCGTATAAAAGAGGCTCTCAGGGAGCATGTTTGCCCCTTCCACCATGTGAGGGCACAGTGAGAAGGCACCATCTATGAAGAAGCAGGCCTTCACCAGACATGGAATCTACAGGTACATTGATCTTGAACTTCCGAGCCTCCCCAATTCTGAGAAATAAATGTTTGATATTTGTAAGCTACTCAGTTTATGATATTTTGTTATAGCAACCTAGAAGGACTAAAACAAAGACTAAGGCAACTCTCTTGGTTTGTCAAGAGTGAGCCATAAAATAAACATGTGGCAGGGGACAGATATTGTCAGAATTTAAGAGAAAGAGAAAATTTAAGAGTAAGAGTCAGTTGGAATTTTGCTACAAGGTATTGGATCAAAATTCCAGCTGACTCTTATCAGCAATGCATGCAGCCTAAAGAAAACAGAAAATCAGTGATCTATAAGGGCTTTCCTTGAAAGCCATGAAATCTCACCAGGTTAAGTATCTCCCCAATGGGATAAATTCTTTTTTAAAATACTTAATAACAAATCTTTCAAAAATTAGTGTCTTAATCCAACTGTAATAACTTGACATGTTCCATAGTTTTTCTGAGTCAGGAATCTTGCTGGGAAGTTTTGACTTGGGCTGTCTCCTGAGGTTGCAGTCAGATATCGGCTTGAGCTACAGCCCTCTGAAAATTTGATTAGAGCTGAGGAGTCCACTTTCAGGTGATGCTGATGCAATGCTGGTATATTAGTGGTGGTTATAACCAAGAGGCTTCCGTTCCTTTTATGTGGGCCTCTCTATGGGGTTTGTTTAAGTGCTATTTGTGACCTAGCCTTGAATATCACACTTCCACCATTTCTATTGTTCATACAGATCAATCCCAATTCAATATCAGAGAGAATTAGACAAGGATATCAATACAAGGAGGAAAAATCATTGGAGTCCATCTTGTGGGCTTTCATAACCATCATACTTAAAACTGTTTCTAGGCAGAGTTAGTGAAAGAAAAAGCAGAAAGATTTCCCCACCTCTGAGTGCCCACAATAATAGCATCTTTAATAGTTTTTTTCAGTTGTTTGAACTGATCATCAAAACCTACAGCATCTAGCCCTAAAGTATCCCAAGAAGGCTTTAAATACGTGTTCAGATAGACACAAAGGAAACCTAAGTAGAATACACCAAAAGTACTTTGTTTTTCTTGATTGCTGCTGTTTCTTTTTTAATTTTCTTTTTCAAATACCAACTTTGCCAAAATTGACCTGTTCTCATTTAAATATTTGAAAGGAGGAAAACAAAACAACTGAGAGAATAGAACAATAATCATACTATTATTTACTTTTCCCATCTTCTCTTCTTCTCTTAAACTATTATTTGCTGTCTTCTCTACTCTCCTCAAATCTCAAAGCACTCTCTTCTACCCCACTGTCAGATTATGGCCTTGCTTCTTAGTTTGCTAAAAGCCAGAGGCTTACTTCTATAAGATTAAACTTGTTTTCTCCATCTGTGTCATATACTCTTTCTCCTTCTGTTATTAGTAAAAAAAAAAAGTCTGTAATTTTAGTTACTATCGACCCTTCCTTTTATGCACTAGAGTGCCTTCCCTCTTACTTACTTAAAAAAAATTACTACAGCAAATGTTTTCTTTCTTTTCTCAGTTTTCATGTTTTTCTTTGTTATTGACTTATTCCAAACAGCCTATATACCTGCTGTTAATATTACCATTTTATTTGTTTTTCTTGATCCATATTCATCTTCAAATGTCCATTTCTCCTTTCCCCTTTAAGACCTCCTCAAAATGGTTATGCATGCTTGCAACCTCCAATTCCTCCCCTCCCATTCTTTTTGACCAACTTCATTTGAGCTTATATTCTCATTGCTCCTCTGAAACAGTTCTTGCAAAGGCCAGTAATAACCGTTATATTGCTATGTCCAAAGGTCAGTTCTAAGTTCTTGTTACATGACTTATCAGTAGAATTTGACACAACCAATCACATCTTCTCCTTGAAATATTTCTCCATCTGGCTTCCAGGTCCACAACACACTCTTTCATTTTCTGCCTGTGACACTGGCTGCTTGTCTTCAGTGTGGTGTTGTTTCTTCCTCATTTGCCTGATCACTTCACAAAAACACATAGTAGAAATAACTATAGACTTCACAAAAGTTTATAGAATTGAAAGCTATACATAAAAACAATTCTGAAAATTAATATTAATTTGAGAGAATCATTTTAATTGGAAAATTTAACATGACACTTAAAAAAGAATATAAAATATATCAATTACACAATTAATAGTCATAAAATATAGATGTGTTATAAATACACTCTACAGAAAATAAATATATTGGTACATAAGAAAATAATGGAAAATTTACAAAAAGTAAAAATATGTTTATAAAATAAACCTAAAGATATGATAAAAGCATGCTATTATTTAATAATCCTATGATAATACATTTGAGAGCCTGATCCCAGTAACATAGATATGTGTGTGTGACCACAATGTAGATTTAAAGGGCATACAGTCTTAGTTAACCAACAGTCATTATAAAAAGTTGATGATATTGTTGAAGAACTAACCCCCAATAATTTGAATGAAATCTTTTATGAAAACCACGAGGAATGGCTAAGATTACAGAAATTAGACAAAAAAACCTCATATCTTGAAACTAGCATTGTGAATAAAAAGGTTTTATATGTAAACAAAATTATAAATAAATCATCAGAAATATAAGCTAAAATTCACAATAAATTATTAACAAATCAAATGGAGTAAGTATTAAAGCAGTGGGACTACAAATAAATCAAATTTAGTGTAAGAATTTAAGGAAAACAATTAGAAATCATCTTAAAATATTAAAATGTCTACTAAAATAAAGATGTTACATAATTTAAAAAATGATAGCATTCAGAGTTGTTAAGTTATGAGGTAGGTACTTAAAACACTATTGCAAGGGCAATATATGTAACCTTAACAACATTTGTACCACCATAATATGATAAAATAAAATTTGAAAAAGACTATTGTAGTCAGTGGAGGTTCACATGGCTTTTCTGAAGTGTCAAACAACAGTCATTAGATCAACAAAATATTTTTACAACATTTTTAATGGTTGTTTAGTAGCCAACTATATAGAAGTATGATGATTTATTTAGCCAATACTCCATTGTTTAGTGGTTATTATAACTTGTTTCTGTCAATAAAGATATTGGCAGATTGGGGAATGACAGATGTGAATGTAAAGAGAGATAGACTGAGACATTACCCATTGCTCAAGATTTTGCACAAATTATCTTTAAGTGGTGGCATTTTTACATAGATTTCTTCATTCAGTAAATTGTTTTTGAGCACCTACTGTGTAAAAATCCTAAAACTTCTGTTTTAGGATTTGTGTATAAAACCATGGACAAGACAGAAACCATCTCTGATATCACTGATTTTAAATTCTAGTAGATGGTGTTTATGATCTGCAATTTTAAATTATCTTCAATGGATGTAATTATGTTCAATGGATACCTCAGGATTCTGTTGATTTGCTTATATCATTTTGTTTTTAGGCTTCTATTAGCTCTGAATAGAACAGCTATTGCAGCAGCCACTAATATATAAAGGTTTTCCAATCTGCTTCCAACATTAGATGTATACTGTGTGTGAATAAACCAATGGTGAAAGAAATTAGCAGCATATAATGATGGATAGGATCTAGCATTGTGGGTAGAATTATAAGATATATCCGTGTCAGAACAGGAAAACAAACACACTACCAAAGCATTACATGCCCCTGTTTTGATTGTAAGTAAAATTCAAGTTTGAGATTTCCCAGAATTCTGATTTTCAGTAAGTAGTATATACAGTTTAATGCTTGGTATACGGTAGAGCTATTTCACTCTTTTAATTTAATTTAGACAATTCCAATAATAAAATTTTAGGAATTATTAGAAAGAAAAATAATAATACTCCATGACTTTTTATACAGGGAAAGTGAGTATAACAACAGAACACTTGATTAATACAAAATACAAGGGTTTTACAGTGGAGTGAACTGATAAGACTTGCCTTAGCAAGAATGATAAGTGAATGTCAGCTAGTTATTTACAGCCTTCAGTAGTATTTCATTGTTATTTCAAAGATGAGTATGTACCTGTATAATGTTATTAGATGGAGAAAGCATAATAACAGTTTTTATGAAAAATACCTAAAAATTTTACATGTAGAATGTCCATTACCTTTAGCAAAGCAAATCCTCTCTGATATTCACATTAAGTATTCACATTATAATCCTCTTTCTTGTTCTTCACCTTTATTCCTGATACATAATTATGACCATTTTATTTGGAACAGGATTAGGATCATTATTATTAGGAAAATGTTCTTTCCTTTTTAAAGTCAATGAATTCACTCGAGACTTTTGGCTGCATGATGATTACTTGATTAGGTACACCTGGAAAATCACAAAAGGAAAGAGTCCAAACAAAAGGGAATCTTTGTATTTTTCCTGTTCAGTTATGTATAGCAATGGAAAAGGATGACTAGGCACACTCAAGCTATAGAAATTAAGCTTTTATTTAAAAACATGGATTGATGGTACTCATTGGCACTTGTGCTCCCACAGCAGAGACTAGAACTGTAATGCATTTAAGCTGAGCTTAGGTCTTTTAATATAAATATCATATGCATGCTAGTCATAGTAATTTATTAGATCATCTATTGGGAATTAGTTAGCAGTATAGCATTATATTACAAATAAATTTAGTGTGTCTATGATATTGAATACATCAGTTGCTATTAAAAATGTAAGTGATCCAATTAATGCATAGAACAGAAAGAGGATCCTGTATTAATTTTTTTCACTTTTTTTCAAATGATAATAATGAGTTTTGGGGTAATGAATGCTTGATCAAAATAATCTGAAATAAAATAAATATTAAACTATATTATTTTGGTGTTTTAAACTTGGTGGATAGGTGAAATTGGCTAATACTTAGTAGTAATGTTGATAATCAGCTTGTAATTATTCTAATTATTGGTAAGGACATGAATAGTGAACTGAAAAATAGATTGATAAAAATATAAGCTTATTTTATTATGTAATGAATTTATTTAATAATGAGGTTTTAGAAAATAGTTAATTCAGATTTTATTTGTTTTGGAGCAATATACTTACAGTGGAAAATTAATTGTAGGAATAGTGATTTCTAACATTGAAATAGATTGAGAGTATTAAGATTAAAAAACATTCACACAAACACTTGCTACTACCGCTAGAAGTATTGAGCCTATAGCGGTTTTTTGAGAGCCAATATAAAATGTAATACTTGATGTTGATCGACATTCAGTGTTAATATAGCATTATAATAAACAAAAATGATATAATGATGTTTATGGCTTCCAAGCATTGTAGTGAAGTTGTTATATGGGACAAACTAAAAAGACTTTAAAGGGCTAATATAATAGCTAAAGAGAGATTTATACAAATGGGAATATCAGGTAATTATGGTGTAACCATAGTCTAAGGTGTCAAAATTGTCTTGTTAAAATACCTAATTTTAACTGTACTGGTCTTTTTTTTACTTCAAAATATTAAGAGGGTACAGATGTTTTTGTTATATGGATACATCATATAATACATAAGTCAGGGCTTTTACTGTGTTTATTGTTTCATTGTACCCAATAGGTAAGTTTTTACCCCTCACCTCTCCACTCTCTCACTTTCCTGGTTTCCAATGTCCTTTACATCTCTTTATGCTCATGTGTACCCATCATTTAGTTCCCACTTATTGGTGAGAACTTGTAATGTTTGATTTTCCACTCATGAGATATTTCACTGAGGATAATGGTCTCTAGTTCCATCGCAGTTTCTATGAATGATATTATTTCATTCCTTTTATGGTTGAGTAACATTCCATAGTGCATAGTGTGTGTGTGTGTATACACACACACACACACACACATATATGTAAATATATATATTTATATACCACATAGTATTTATACACTTATGAATTGATGGGCACTTAGGTTGATTCCACATCTTTGCAGTTGTGAATTGTGCTGCAAGTGCAAGTGTCTTTTTGATAAAATGATTTATTTTCCTTGAGTAGATATACAGTAATGGGATTGTTGGATTGAATGGTCTACTTTTATTTCTTGGAGGAGTCTCCATACTGTTTTCCATAGAGGTTGTACTAATTTGCAGTTTCACTATAACCAGTTTGTTTTGAATTGTAGGCTAAATCTGTAATTTATAGTGCATAGGAATCACTGTTTTTAATAAGTATTATTCATAGGTTGATTTTCTGAGAAGTCCAAGGTAGTGATAGTAAGAGTAAAATTTTGGGCTCAAACAGTAACAATTTGATGGATACTAAGAAGGATTTTGTTCAAAATTATAGGTGAGACAGATCTAGATTTTCAAATCCAAATTCATATGGATTTGGTTTTTCTGTATATGTGTAATAATTATAGCAGGCAGAATGTGAAATTACTAATATAGAAGCTATAATGTATTAAATAGTTTTGATATCATTAGATTATTCTTCATTTGGATTCAATCTAAACTAACAGATTTGAAGTTAGTTTTACTAATAAACATGAAAACAATAAGATTGTTATCAATACACTGTTATATAGAAAAATAGTCAGATGACAATTAAAAGAATGTTAGCAGTTTCAAAGTTGAAGTGATCAAAAGTAAAATTTTATTTGTCATAGAAAACATATAATTGAGGAATGTTTTACTAGTAATTAATTGCACACAATCTATGAAATACATTTTTTAAAAATGATGTTCATAGAGGCTGTCAGAATTAGTGTGTAATGTTTCATAATCCGAAGTTTTTCATAGTGTAAACATCTATGGTGATGTTAATAAATAGTGTTTGTAATATTTCCTTGATTTTTTTTTCTTTTAACTGTGGGAGTTCAAGTGATAGATATTCCAGCAACTATCATAGAAGAATAAAAATGCTAAGAAATGATAATTTTAATGGGTTTAGTGGTTTAGTCGTTTGATACATGTTAGTGATTAGTTTCTATCAAATTCTGCTGTAGGGGCCATATTTGAGGGGAAATTCAAAAATACCTTACAATAAAAACATTTCTAGCACATTGAAGAGGATTATTTTGTATCAAACTTCTATTTGTACAACTGATTGGGGGGGGGACATGTGAAAGTAGGCTTTGTTAGTGCATTGTTTGATAGTCTAAGTATTAATAGGGTTGATACGTTAAATGGAGTCTTTAGTAGTGCAGATAAGTCTCCTCTTAGTGGCCAGGACCTTAGCTTTATAATATGGTAAGCATCTGAGTTATTAGGCATTATCTATAAATGTGGGCTTCCTCAAGAGGTGAAGACATGTGAATGAATTCAGACTACTATGATACGAGCTCTAAAACTGTAGGAAGTACTAGAATAATAAACATGATTGAGGCTACTGATGAAATCATTGGTACTAAGTCTAATGTGGTTCCCCCAACTAGGTGAATTAACAGGTGATAAATTGCAATATTTGCTGTAAATCACATTTCTAAGACTATTTATTAAATGAATAATCTAGGAATGGTAATGATTATACAGGTAGACATAAATATAATAGGTGCTCCTTGGAGTAGAAAATACACTGATAAGGCTTCAGTTTTCTGGTAAAAACCAGTAAGAACTGTTCCTGCCCATAGTGAGATGGCTGTTCCTAGATTTATTACAAATTAAGTGTCTAGGGTAAAAGTGTGAGGTAGGTGCACTAACAGGAATGAAGTTTTGATAAATGGAATAAGTGAGTTGGAATTGATGTTAGAGATACAATTTGTCCTATTCTCTATAAGTTAACATTGATTGTCTTAAAATTAGTCTAACTACTATCAGAATCTAATTACAGACTTTAATATGATGGTTTGGTAAAGGGAATGTAATTATAGGGCAAATAATATTAATAATTAGGGTTATAATAGGTAATGCTATTGTTGCTGGGAGAAAATAGAGGCAGATAAGAATTATCATTTATTTTGTTACTCAATATTGATATTCCATGTGTTTGAATGAGGGTGATGATTTAAAAATACAGCCAGAAAATTTTCATTAAAAATATTACTAGTAGGATTATTTAAAAGATAGTATTGGTTTATAATTTTATATCTAATTGTAGCGTGTCATTGGTAAGGGATTTAAGTTGTCAATCTTTAACTTAGAAGACTAATAATTTAGCTCCTCCCCAATGAATTTATAATATTAACATGGGTCAGTTTTCAAAATATTTTAAAGTACTGTCTCAAGCACAATGTCTATGAAACTATAATTGGAGCCATACAATTAAATATCACTGTTTCTAATAAAAAATCATTCCAGTCAATACTAATACTACTCTCCTTAGTTTCCCTGGAACAGCAACTGTTTTTAAACACAAAGAAGAAACAGTCATGGATAGATTGCACACATCTTCTGATTAGGTTAATGTTTAGATTGGCAGTTCCATGAGGATTCCTATACGGCTAAATTTCTGGTAGATAAAATTTTCAGAGTTATAAGTTTGCATATAAGTTAGAACCTTCATAGTCTCTGTAACCATAAATTTGGTTCATTGACATCCTATTGTTTCTATGGTTAGGAATGGGTTATCTACATAAAGAATCCATAATTATGGAAGAACAATAAGAATTAAAATAATTAAAGATAAGCTGGCTCATACTGTTTTTAATTCTTAAGCATCTGCTGTGCTTTTGTGAGTTAATTTTGTGTTTAATGTTAGATATATAATCTATTATACCAAAGAGCTAATTATAAATACTATTATAAGACAGGGAAATGGAAACATTCTTCTATAATGAAAAAATATACTTGAAAACTTAGTTAGAATGGATATCCTTAAAGGCACAGATGACGTATATATTAACTTTGATAAAATTAAGTTAATGATTGGTAAACTTATTTTTACCAGTATCTTACTTACTAAGAAAGGCTGAGAATTTATGAGATTGGCTTGAAATCAATTAGAGTAGATTTGATTTCTTCCTTTCTTGATATTTATGGTTTTATTTAGGTGGATTAATGGAAAGCATAATATGTTGGAGGATATCTATGAAGTCATTCAATGTTTGTTGCAGCAAGCTCCAAAGGTGTTACTGTTTTGAGGTGAAGCCCTGTCAAGTTATAAATACTTTTATTATCGTTGCTATTAGTGAACTAATAATTTCATAGATGAGAGAGTTTTCATCTTGTGTCAGCATGTGGATACGTTGAGTATTAATTCTGTATAACAAAAAGGTCAAGAAAATGTTGAGGAAAGAAAGTTAAAATAATGCCTATAAATAATTGTTGTGCTTTGCCTCATATAGAATATAATATATATTTTAAAAATAGTAGTAAACAAAGCCTCTTATTATAGTAAATACTGTTTCTATATATAGATGTGATAGAAATGGGCAGAAATATAATATATATCTTATAGAATAATATTGAATGATGAATTTAGACAAAACTCCTATTAACCCATCCACAGTAAGTAGGAAAACCAAGCCTCTGGCTCAGAGTGTAACTAGTGATTACTTACTACTTCATACTTATAATACAACTAGTCAATGATTTTTACCTTTTTTAGGATAGTAACAATTATAGTAAAAATTACAGTAGCAGAAATGAGGCATATTGAAAATCTAATTCCATATTTACTCCTTTTAGTGACTTATAAACAACAGAGATTTATTTCTTACAGTTCTGAAGGCTGGATGTCTCCAGATTCAGTGTCTGGTGAAAACCACCTTCCTCTTAGATGCTGCCTTCTTGCCATGTCTTCACACGGAAGAAGAGTAAAGGAGCTCTCTCAGGCCTCTTTTATAAGAGCATTAGTCCTATTATGGGGGGAGAGACCTCATGTACTAAGTAACTCCCAAATGTCTAATCTCCTAAATAAAATTACTTTGCAGGTAAGGATTTCAACGTATGAATTTTGGGGAGACATAAATATGCAGAACATATTGGGGTAAAATAACGATGTGGTATAGAGTAGATCCTAAATTCCAATTGACAATTCTGCTCAGACTATTTTTTATGCAACTAAAGAATTTTTTCCTGAACAATATATGAAATTATTCCAAAGTATATGTACTTCAGGATATCCAATCAATCATAATAAATGTTAATATTAAGTTGGGTCTCTGCCTCCTGCTAGATTTTAAAAGGTAAACCTTAGATTCTATTTTGTTTACACTAATTTCTCTGGTAATTATAAAATGTAACAATAATGAAATGCAATAACTAACAAATCAAAGAAGGGTTGTCTGATACTAGGATGCAAAAGGCGGTTTTATGTTAATTAATTGCAATAATAAATTAATGACAACTAAAATTGATGAGACCCTGCTAGACAAGAGAGATGATAGTGAAATCAATTGTGCCTGCAGGTGTTATTAATATATTGCCAGTGTATGTAGGGGCACACTGTTTACTTCAGTCCTGCTTTGCACACACTGTTGATGGTGCAAGTAGTAAAAGGAATCAGAGAGGAAATAATTGAAACCTTATTTATATGTTTAAATGCTGTATCTGGAGCACCTATCATTAGTGGCTGTAATGAGTTTCAAAATCCTCTGATCATGATGGCATCACTATAAAAATTATTACTACGACATGGGCCATAATCAGTTATAAATCTGAGCATCTCCTAATAAAAATCTTCATTGATTAAGATGTCTGACTTAGCAAACTCAGGAGCTGTCTCTACTATTTTAGTTTTAGCATTAAGTATATAGAGTAGGGACCACTTTGTGATTTGTTAAAAAATAGTCAAAAGTAGGTAAATTTATGTAAAATAGCTGAGAATAACATTTATATTGCAAATATAAGGGCAAAAGATGATTCCTCATTTTATCAAGCTGGGAGTTTTAGCTTATATACTGAATTGCAAATTCAAAGAAGCAATGAAACATGTCTGTGCTTCTCCTGTCTTTACCCCAAAGTTAAAAGTAGATCAAAGTCAATAATTTAGGAGAGTTAGCTGTTAACACAAATGACACATGTGCCTGTGTGTATATGCTCTCTTACACTCTCTTGTCCTTCTGCCTTCGCCATGGAATGATGTTGCAAGAACACCTTTACCAAGCCTGTTGACCTTGGACTGTCTAATTTATACATATATATGTATGTATATGTATGTATGTATATATGTATGTATATACACACAATTATTATCATGTGTCACAGAATAATTGTCTGTGTAACCTCATGTGAAATTTGTGTTACTGCTTTTAGGGATCTGAGAAGGGCATGCCATAGGCTTGACTGATTAAGCTAAGTAAGTTTCATATGGATGAAATAAATGGTAATTCTAGGTTTAAATCTTGCTATGGTTGGAATTTGTCTGTCAAAGTTCATGTGTTGGAAATGTCATCCCCAATACAGCAGTGTAGAGAAGAAAGAAGTTTAAGAGGTGATTAGATCATGAGGGTTCTGCCCTCATGAGTAGATTAATGTTATCACAGGAGTGGTTCAGTTGCCATGAGTGTGGGCTGTGGGCTTGTTATAAAAGTTAGTGGGTCTCTCTCTCTCTCTCTCTCTCTCTTTTTTTTTTCTTTTTGAGATAGGGTCTCACCCTGTTGCCCAGGCTGGAGTGCAGTGGCACAATCACAGCTCACTGTAGCCTCCAATTCCTGGGCTTATGTGATCCTCCCACCTCAGCCTCCTGAGTAGTTGGGACTACAGGAATGTGTCACCACGCCTGCCTAATTTTTAAAATTTTTTTGTAGAGATGGGGTTTTGCAATGTTTCCCAGGATAGTTTCTAACTTCTGGCCTCAAACAATCCTCCTCTCTTGGGTTCCCAAAGTGCTGGGATTAACTATGAGCTACCATTTCCTGGCCTCCCTCTTGCTCTCTTGCACTCTCTTATCCTTCTGCCTTTGCCATGGAATGATGTTGCAAGAATGCCTTTACCAAGCTGTTGACCTTGGACTGTGTGACCTCCAGAACACTGAGAAAGAAATTTCAGTTCTTAAATTTAAACCCAGTCTGTGGCATTCTGTTACAGTAACACAAAATAGACGAAGGTAAATCTATTAATGGATATGATGTTAGGGTGGACACTCAGACTGTTAAACAAGATAAGGATCATAATAGGTACAATAATCTGTGTTATATTGATCACATTAGAGGTCAAAATGGATAGCCAAATGTCAAAGACTGAAACAAAATATGTACCTCTCTCCACTCAGAAAAATTAATTCTTGATGGATAACAGATTTAAACCTAAGGTATGAAACTATAAGAATTCTGGAAGAAAATGTTGGAAAAACTCTGATACATGTTGGTGGAGCCAGTCTAAGTTCTAATACACACTTTCTTTTCCCTATCCCAAACAGACAGATTCTCTGTGTGCACTTCACTTCCTGGGCTTGGAAGAGGGGGCGTAGGAAGTGTGAGACTATTGGTTCTTCAATATGTCATTTCTTATAATTACGCTATTACCAGATACTGTGATCTCTTACCTGATTTCTTTAGCTCTTGTGAAGGTAATTTTTTGTGTGGATAATTGTTCAATTTGATGTTCCTGCAGGAGACTGATTGCTGGAAGGTCCTATTTTACCATGTTTCTCTGCCTCTCTCTTAGTGAGGGATTTTAATAATTTATTTTATTGAGATATGTATCTATTTAATATTAGGCCTTGTGGAAGGCAACTAATTTCCTAAGCCCTTTCATATTGTGAAACATCTTTTTATAAAGATAAAGAAATAGAATTGCTCTGATATGAATTCAGGTACCATAAAACATTAATCATGGCACAGAAGAACCTTAAGTAGAAGTTACATCTTTAGGATGTGTGGATACAACAATAAAATCATAAACTTTATCATCAATCTGACCTCTAAAATGGAATTTCATTGTTGCAACTTGAGAAATCTGTTGTATTGATAAAAATCTTCAACCAACTACTAGTGGTTTTATAGTTTGAGTGATTACTCTAGCTTTGATCATTTGGTGGCTTTTCTATACTCTGAGGTCACTTCAACCAAAATAATTAATTCAGAGCATGATTACTTTAGTTACTTAGTAAGTTTTTATATTCAATTAATAAATTAAAGTTTTATAGGTTCTTTTAATGAATAGGGGGAAGGCTGAATGTTTATTGAGTTTCTTTTAATTTTTTAAATCTTTCTACATTTTCATTTTAGGTTAATAGGATATAAAACTAATGTATTCATATTTTTTCTATCTATTCACTATCAGTGGCGTATCTATTTTATAAGGGCTTATAGAAAAGAAGTATTTCTTATTACTTATGTTAATTTTTTCTCTTCATATATAGATTAAAAATAAGGTATTGGAGGTGGGTTTGTGTTGGCATTTACTTATGGTTAAATTGGAATGCATGAGAAGTTGGAACTGCTTTAAGCCAATTATAATTTTATGCGTAATTACTCTTCTGAGAAAAATTTTGTCCAATTTCAAAATATCTGTATATCTTTTGATGAATATTTAAATTTACATTAAGATTGATACCTCTCAAGGTAAATTTAAAGTTGACCTTATATTCTGCTTTGGATTATCAGCTGTAGCTTTAGCTATAAATCCTTCTCACTATTTTTTCACAGAGAATTTTTTCTAATTAACTGTTTATAAGTAGCTTGCTTATTTTCTATTTTTTTTTTAAGTAAAAGTTCTCTGCTTGTTATATTTTACTTAATTCATTATGCTAAATATGTAGAATATAATCTTTCCTATTTTTGGTGATAACTTTATCTTCCAATTTTTCTTTTTGATGCTCTTTGTTTAATATCTAAATAACATTTCTGTCTTCTATCCTACACTTCTCTTATAGTTTGGTGTTATTATTATTGTAGTTGTCTTTGCTTTATTAGGACTAATTGTTTTGATTTCGTTTGAGCTAGGATGGTTTCAAGTGCCTTTAAGTTTAGTTTAAACCTAGCTTTGTGTTTTAGATTTCAGTTGTAGTTCGTTTTGCACAAGTGATTTTCTATTATGCTTAGTGTACTATTTTATTCAATGTTTAGATATATACTACTTATAATTATTCATATTGTTTGGATTTTTGTTTGAAAAAAATGACTATAGCCATACTTCAAAGCCTAATTCATTTGGGCTTTCTGTTGTTAATTTACTTTTAACCTTTTACTTTTCTAAAAATTTCTGTTAATAGACTCATAAGTTAAAGAATATAGCCCATTATCTATGCCCTGATATAACATTGTTAAGATAATTCTTGTGTTTTTAATCACTCTTTTTAGAGTCTGCTGAAATGGCATTATATAGGCTAAATTAGCAAGTAGTGGTGAAGTTTATTGAGATTTATTAATTACAGAACCAGAGTTCTTTATAGTAGTGTAAAGCATGCCAAATATTTGAATTTTAAGCTCCTGTTAGGAGTACTCTGGTGAATTTTATTTTATAAATAACACTGTGTGTCCTAATGCATTTATCCCAGTAGTTATAATTCAGGGGAATGTTTTATAAATCTAGTCTCAGAACATTTTATTTTGACATATATTTAGAGAATTTAAATTCAAAGTTGAGATTAGTTTTTTTTTAAATTGTGTACTTAGAATAAATGAATTGGGGAAATAATTTTTTAAATAGGTCTCCAGAAAAGACATACAGATAAAAACAACTTAATATTGTTAAATATATTAAAAACCCTTTGAAAATCAAATAAACAATTTTAGATTCATTAGTTGCAAATTCATCCCTAGCGAAATGAAAAAGAATCTCTATACTATTGTGTGTTATTTTTTTTTCAAGATGTTAGCCTTGAAAAGAATAATCTTATCCTCATTTTGAAACTTCTTTTTTTGTGTGTTTGAGAAACATGTTTTAAAACTAGAAGTTTGTTAGAACAATTTAAAAGAATAAAAAATTTTTAAAAACCTACAAAAATTACATTCTAATCATACTCCAGCCCTTTAATATCTTGCATTCTTTATAAAAGTATGCATAATTATCTCATAATTCATTAGCTTGCTCTTCAGCATGAGCCATTATTTGCATAGAACATTTTGCTGTTCTAATCTTGGTCTTTCGTAACTAACAAGAGAAAGTCCTTTTATATTTTAGCAATTATATAATCTTCCTTTAGTGGATATGACTTTATGCTATATCCTTGACACATTACTTGCAGCAAGATATAGTCCATTCCCCATCAGGATGCAAGATACAAAGTTTCTTCTCACTTTTAATAGAATTAACTTTTGCTCTCCAAATTCAGAATACATCTGGATATTTATATGTTTTTAAGGAAATAGCTAATTAACTGAGCAATTCCTATTGCAGGTTATTATTCAGTATCATCTCATTCCAAACTAAAATTGCTTGTATTATTTCAGGTGGGTAATTTTATCTGGACAATTACAAATAACTCTATTGAATAGGTCAATGAATTTAATTTTGGGGGAATATATTTTCTAAAGTCACTTTTTCTATGATGCATGCAAACCCATTCACATGAATTATGCTCAAAAGCAAGCCTTGATAGCATTTTTTTCATGTTTTCTATGTCTGAACACATACATATATACACATACACATACCCACACAAAACATCCCAATTTATCTGTTTCTTTTCCATATTCTACAGTTTGGAATTCTGAACATTTGTGTTTAATTATATAAATAAATTTCCTATTGTTTTCCATATCAATTTTTAATATCTGCCTTCACTTATAGCAGCCAAATATTTATTCATTGAGATTAAAGTATTATAAAATTTGATTTGTAATTGATATGGAAAGTTTTTATTGTTTCAATTCATGTATAGTATAAAAAATGTGGATCTTTAAAAAGTTAGTGATATTGAATACCTGTACTTCATAGAGGGTATCTCAAGATGCCTATTTCTGGTTCTGGTCAAAATCCCAGTTGTTTTGATTGCTATGTTATATATCATAGTAGGGGACATACTAAATTACAGATAATTTCTTTGTGCTTTTAAGAATCTGAAAAATTTGAGAATCTTCCAATCCCAAAGGGTAAATTTGAAACAATCAAAGGAGTAAACTCTATAACAGAAGTGTGATTGAACAATTAATTCCCTCAGCTGTTGTTTCGTGTGCAGTTAGAGTAAGCTAGTGTGTACTGCAGGAGGCCAGGTAGACACAAAAACTCCACAGAGGAGTTAGTTATGGAGGAGAACACTAGAAATGCCCATTCTAGAACTCTTAGGGGTAGAGGAATCTTGTGAAACAAACTTTAATACTATTCTGAAAATGAGGAGTGTCTCAAGCTGTATTAATTAACTTCTTACTAGCTCCATTGATTTTGATTCCATACTTATAAGAGACACCTTCTAATAATTTGGTTTCCTATGTAACCAGTTTACAGTGTTTTATTACAGTTCCCTATGCATTTACCAAGAGAGCCTACTCTGTGCCATGCATTGTGCAAGTGTTGTTAAGATTTATCAAGCAATGAAGATACCAAGGATAGTGAAGTCCAATGGGAGAAGGATATAGACAAGAATACAGACATTTTCAAAACATACTTAAGGACTATGAAAAAAAAGTTATGCTAAAACATTGAAAAATTCATTCTGTGCATTTAAATATGTGTATTATTAAGTCAATTAAAATACATTTATATGTAAGTGTATATAGGAAAGAAAAGACTGTAAGTATATGCACTGAGCAATGAAAGTGATTAAGTTTGGGAAGAAGCATGAGATGGCTTGTGAATGGATTATTGAAAGGCCACTTTACTTATTTTACTTAATTTCATATGATTTATCTTCTTTTTAAAAAAAACATAATTGTTAAGTAGTCACCAATTTCTTCTATATATTAACATGCACACATGTATGTACATAAAAGGAAGGAAAGAATACTAAAGAATGGATAGGAGGAAGTCCTGGAAAAGTACAGTTGATGTTTTTTAAGCTTTGCGAACTGCTTCTGTCAAGACTCATAAATTAGAAGAGCACAAGTCTTTCCAGGGACTGCAAATTGTTTGGTAAACCTGGATGTAGAACTTGATGGAGGTAGAGAGAAAGTGAAAAACAATCCTAGCAGTTCACTGCTGGAAGCTGACAGCTTGCTGTAATGTTCCCAACTAAACATAAACAACTTTCTAAGAATATAATCAATACTCGGACAAGGACATTGTATGACCATAATAGAATAAGACAAAGAAAGGACACCTACCTTGCAATCACAGAAGTAACTAAGCATCCTTTCTGCAGGCAAGCATAAATGACTACTTTCTTTACCGATGACAATTCTTGCCCTACTTTGAACTCCTTGCTTCTAGATTTGAACAAAATAAAAGAAGAATAATAATCTAGTCATTGACTTGTACTTGCTACTTGAGAACATCCTGCCTGGAATTATCTATACTTCTTTAAATCTTCCTTAGAATCACTCAGCATAAGTCCAAATATAATAAGCACCCCCATTTCCTTTTACAGAGACACTCAGTGTTCTTCTGTTATGTGTTCTCCCTTGCTGCAAGGGAGAAGCTAATAAATCTAAATTGGTTTGACTAAAGGTATGTGGTAGCCATTGGTTAGTGGGCTTTGATGATAGTGGCAGGAAGATGACACCATATATATAGACTTGAGTGAGATTATAAAGATTATACTATGATGTACAATCCCAAGGAAGTGGTACTTAGTCATATTTGCTATGAATGGCCATTGGAAAATGTAACCCACAGGCCAGAGAATTTCAGAATGATTTAAAACATCACTTTGGTGGTAGAATAGAAAATAAATTGGAGTAGGGGAAGTATTGAAAGGAAATAATTTAGTGGGCAGTTTTAGAATCTGGAAATGAGAGGATGAGGACCACAACTGAGGACTGCTGGTGTGAATATGAAGAAGTAGAGAAGAAAAGTGCAGGGTTTAGTAACTGGTAATGGCAATGCCATTTACTGAAAAGTGATGTGGAAGGAACAGCTTTGGGGAGGGTTGTTTGATTGAGTAGCAGTTTGACAGTACAGAAGGCAATGCAATCCATGGATATAAAACTTAGGAGAGATATTTGAGATGGAAAATCAGATTTTGTCGCCAACAGAAAAAGGATGAAAATTCAGCCATTAAATATTTTATGTGGCATTTATTTATTTCCTGCACTTGATGAACCCAGACATCTCTGCTATTCAGTTTTTGCTATCTCCTACTAGCAACTAACTAATTGATGCATTCAGTTGTAAAACATAAAATGACATTGAATAGGATAATTTGTACATTCTTCAAGAAGGCAAGTAAAATAGATTCAGGTGATTCATAAATACAGCTCAGCTATGAGATAAGATAGTAAGATTCTCTTCTATTCATGAATCCAAGTTGTCAGGCAGGAAAGACCTTATGGATAGAATTACTCAGATAATTATGCCAGGTCCAACAAAGCCTATGACAGTTGGAGGGATCGGGTGAATAGATACACGAGTGGAGAATTTTCTTATGGAAGGGATCTAGTCCTTATTCCTATTCTAGATGATATTACATATATGAATCAGTGGTAGTTTGTAATTCTCAATAATTTTCCAAAGAGAAGAGAACCTTGGCAATCCATGCTCAGAAGATTTTAAGTAATTATTCATTTCTTCATTCATTCCACTCCCAACAGTGTTTTCAAGACAGCCAAGATTTGAGGGACACATGGATTCCTCCAGAATAAAACATTCTCAGCACATGATTAGGCAAAGTCTTTGTACAGCAGTTTTCCTGAACACCCCCGGAGTAGCTGTAGACCATGATAATTTATTATTTGAGTCTACCCTTATTTATTTCTTAGTCACAACTTTATAAATATGAGAGAGTGTTGTAAGTATAATAATACTGAACAATAATGCAGTAGGCACAGTACTACATATGTTACATATATTGTCTTATCATCATAACATCATCAATCGGTTAACAATTTCATCCTGATTTTATGGTTGACACAAGTGTGGCTTAGAGAAATTATATGTTTTAATATAGCTAATAGAAAGACTTAATATTTTCAAGAGGTCAAGTCTTCCCAACTTGATCTATATATTCAGTAAAATCCCAATCAAAATTTAAGCAGGTTATTTTGTATATATTGACAAAATGATTCTAAAGTTTATATGGAGAGGCAAAAGACCCAAAATAGTTACCACATTATTGAAGAATAATGTGGACGTATAGCACATTTTAGGATTGATAACACTCAACTTCAAGACTTATTATAAAGTGACAGTTATCAAGACAGTGTGGTACTGGTGAGAAAAATAGACAAATCAATGGCACAGAATAGAGAGTCCCAAAATAGGCATACATAAATACAATCAACTAATTTTTGACAAAGGAAAGGCAATACAATAGAGAAAGATATCTTTTTCAATAAATGGATCTGGAACAACTAGACATCCATATGCAAAAAAATGAATTTATACACAGACCTTACATCTTTCATAAAACTTAACTCAAAATGGATTATAGACATAAATGTAAAATGCAAAACTATAAAAGTCCTATAGGATAATATAGGTACAAACCTAGATGACTTTGTGTATGGTGATGAGTTTTAGATACAACAGCAAATGCATAATCTATGAAAGAAATAATTAATAAGCTAGACTTCTTTAAAATTAATGTAGCTAGAAGATAGTGGAACTTACTCCAGAAGTAAAACTCTTAAAAACTATACTTTTATTTAAATATTATAGAAATTAGTACATAGCTTCTGATGATGAAAAAAATGTCATCAACATAATTGTTATATGGTTCTTACTCAACAGCATTATTTATTATAACTTACTTCTAGTTTCTAATTAGTTATATACTATAATAGCTATCTACCAAATTTTATATTGCTATAAATTAATCCCTGACATTTTATGTAGTAGTGTAGTTTTAATTTGTCTTTGAGTGAAAAATCATAACCATCCTCTCTCTCCCTTTTTTTTTTTTGAGACAGAGTCTCGCTTTGTTGTCCAGGCTAGAGTGAGTGCCGTGGCATCAGCCTAGCTCACAGCAACCTCAGACTCCTGGGCTCAAGCGATCCTCCTGCCTCAGCCTCCCGAGTAGCTGGGACTACAGGCATGCGCCACCATGCCCGGCTAATTTTTTTTTATATACATATCAGTTGGCCAATTAATTTCTTTCTATTTATAGTAGAGATGGGGTCTTGCTCTTGCTCAGGCTGGTTTTGAACTCCTGACCTTGAGCAATCCGCCCGCCTCCGCCTCCCAGAGAGCTAGGATTACAGGCGTGAGCCACCGCGCCCGGCCCCTCTCTCTCCCTTTTATGTCATCTTAAAAATGGAAAGTGATTTCATTGTCTCTTATAATCACTTTCCCTCTCATACATATTCTCTTGAGCCACAAAAGGCTTTAATATAGATATATGGACCTTTTTATTATCAGTTATTTACTTGGTTTCACCCCCTATAGCATGAGGAAAGCTCTTTTTGGTCCACGTACTGCTTTCCCTTAGGTCACATTTGGCATCCTATCTGCAAACCTTGTGCTGCTTTAAAATGCAGTTTTCTGAGCCCAACATTACCTCTACTGAATTGGGGTCTCTAGGGATGAAGCCTATGAATCTCCAGTTTTATCAAGAACTCTGAATAAGTTTTGTACATTATGATTTGACAACCACAGATATAGGAAAGGATGATTGGACTTAATTTTCTAGATGTTTTACCCAACTGCTAATCTTTAATTATTCTTTGAAATTGCAAATAATACATTATTACTACACAAGCCTTACAATTTTTGCAAAGTATTTTTTGTAGCACGCAATTAGTATAATAGTATAATGATACATACAAAGCCCAAGTGTGAAAAGATGCATCTTGTATGATTCAGTGTTAGACTTCACAAACATAAACTAGTGTTTTAAAGAAGAACAAAGAAGACTCATAGATATGAACAGGGAGGATAAAAATTTTATTTGGAAAGGGAATGAAGGAGAAGACACCAAACATTTCTCACCATAACACTAGAAAAGGTTAGAGTTTTCCTTTATTTCATAGCTAACATAACCCAAAGGAGGAAAAAAAAGAAAAGGTAGGGCATTATGATTCAGTGTATCAATTTACTTAAAAGAAAAAAATATTACATAATCTTGCTACTTTCAAAGCTAATGGAAACATAAAACAATCTACAGTAAATACAATTAATATAAAGGATACATTGGTTTTATATTATGATTTTATAAGAAAGTAGACAGTGTATGAATATAAGAAAACAGGAAGGGGAAGCAATAAAGACAGCGTATTACTGGGTCAATATTTGCAGAATTATCATCTCTAGAGATCGAGGCCAGAATATGTACTTTTAAAATTCTTTCTTCTCTATATAAAAAAATGAGAATCACTGCCTTGTTCCATGGTCCTTCCTTATATTTGCCATGCATTTCTAAGTATGAGATAGGACAATACTGCCATCACTGTAACAACCACCATCTAACATTTTGGTTCAAACAACTCACTACATTGTGAAAGAGCATGAAAATTTAGAAAGAACAATATTTAGAAAGAACTCAAGCAAATTTAGTCAGTGCCTCTCAAAAACAGTTCTATATACTAGCTGGATCAGAATGTACTAAAAGTTATTTAAAATATAGATTTAGAACCTTTCCCATAATTATAAGACCACAACTTTTTAAAATGGGTTCTGGGAGACAATAGATAGCAGTTGAGGTGTCCCAAATAAGCTGCTTGTGCTGAGATTATTTTTGTTTTAACACAAGCCTTAATTTATGTTTAATTATAATAAATATTGAATAATCACTGAGGATTAATTAGTTGCTGTTATAATTTTGAGGCTGTTAAAGAATAAACCACAGCCATAATTGCTGAAGGTAGATCTCTACAAATACAAGAACCACAGGAACCACAGAAAAAAATCATTTCTTTAATTTGTCACTGAGCTTTGAGCTCTTATATCTTTGGCAGAAATAGGAATTCTTCCTTTAGGCTTACAGATCATTTTTTTTCAAGCTGTAATTCACTTTTTACAACTATGCATGAATGTCTAAGGAAACTGAAAGTTCAAAGTGTTTTCTGAAGACAAGATATGAAGTTATGTGTGTTGTGAGGGAGCCAGTGAAACTTCAGACACAGAGGTCTGAATTTAAATGCTAGAGAACTCAAGGGAAAGAAAAATCCTATCATCAAGGATAGATTTAAAAAATAGATCAGAAATGTTAATAATGGCTGTCTATGAGGCAAAGGGATCATTTAGAAACTTTTCTTCTTGCGGTGTGAAGTGGAGCAGGTGTGTGCTGGCTGTGTGTGTGCAGGCTGTGTGGAGGCCGTGTGGTGCTGACTAA